TCACGCTGGTCTGCACCTTTCTCTCCTCCTCTCCCTCTTTCTCTTCTCTCCCTCTTTCCCTCTTCTTCCTCGGGTCGTTGTTTTTCTATTTCGTCGCCCGATCGTCCTGTTGGTCCTATTCCTGCCGCATGCTTTCCCTCCCCGGCAGAATCGTGGGCGGGTCAGCGACACACTTATCAAACACGTCGTGACCACTGCCACGCCGCGGCAGGGCAGGGCACACACTGGGCCGGGCCAGGCCAGGCCAGCGCAGCCCGAGTAACGTATAGCTTGTCGGTTTTACCCCCTCCCCCTCCTCCTCCCCCTCCCCTCCCCCTCCCCCTCCCCCTCCCCCTCCCCCTGGCAGACAGACGCCTCCCCTCTCGGGTGTCTGCAAGGCGCCGCCGCCCTCCCTGTACCCCCTGGGGACGAAGAAACTAAATCCCACGAAATTCGTATAGAAAACGCACGCCGTGTGTGTGTGTGCGTCTGTGTTTTCGGCGAGGGGAGCGCCGCTGTGTGATTTATCTATTAAGGGCCGCGCGTCGAGTGGTCATAAGGACACTACTTATAAAGCGAGCGCGCGATATTCGCGAGCGGAATGTGTCTGGAGGGAGGAGCGAGATGACGATAGGCGTGACAGAACGGGGGGTGGGTCCCGAGGAAATGGGAAATGGGATAGGGAGGTTGACGGAGAGAGAGAGAGAGAGAGAGAGAGAGAGAGAGAGAGAGAGAGAGAGAGAGGAAACCCGAACGGCCGCCTCGTCCTCGTCGGCCGCCTTGGCGCAATCAGCAGAGCGAATCAAATGCTTCCTGTGGAATGCGACATTTCACAGACGTCATGCCGTTGTTATTGCAATCGCCTCGCAATTATAGAATGCCTGCCTCCGGTTCCGGCCGCGCCTCCGCGCCGCCGGGGAGGCAAGCCGTCCTCGCACACTATTGTCACCGCGCACTTTCTCGAATTTTTGAAAAAACATTAAAAAACGAAAAATTGCCGGTTTTTTTGTGCTGCACCGTGTACAGGACAGTCTTACGCTTATTGCGAAAGCGTATGAGCAGCAGTGTGGATTTAGCACATTTTTCAGGACTGCTTTTTCCTGTGCAGCTTCTTCGCGTCTCTGTTTTATACTGCCCTTGTACTTCCTCGGCTGAAGGGTCCCTCTTTTGAACGGGCCGGAGCGAATCGAGCACACACACACACACACACACACACACACACACAGACGCAGCAGAAAGTGTGGCAAAACGGAGGGCTGCACCGCAGGAAAGACTCGGCACATATTTCAACTTTGCTCCCGGAAACGGCGTGTTGTCGTCCGGAACTGGCGATCTCCCTGGGCGGGGCCGGCCTCTCCCGGTTGCCTCGCCCCGCTGCCTCGGGCCGTGATGAGTGACCCACAAACAACAACATTGTATACTCGGCGGTGAAAGTTGCAGCAACAATAACCTTTCGAAAAACGCGAGGGATAAAAGAGAGCTGGGCGTGTGGTGAAAAAAAAAGGGAAACACTTGAAGAGCGCGTTGGATACCTCACGGCCTCACGGTCTGGCAGACACTCGCCTTTCGTTTCACGGTGCAGTGATTCTTCCATTGAGGCGTCGAAGGAGGCGATGCCAGGCGATGCAGGAAATGGAGAGGATGCTGGTGGTTCTGCTATTTCTTCTTCTGCTCGGCTTGGTGGCGATATTTTCTCCTCTATCTCTTGGCGCAGGCTGGCGGCGCGCCTGGGCGGCTGGCGGCCCGGTCGGCAAGGCTGTGCACGTGGTGCCTACCTCGCAGGCGTCCACCGCAGTGGGCCAGAAGACCGGTGGAGGCGGCCAAACCCTTGACGCGTTTTGAGCTCCAGAGTCGCTAAAAAGGTCTCGTACCGAACGTGTGACCTCACCAATAGACTGCTCGTTTGCAGAGCAATCTATTGGTGGGGTCATACGTTTGGTTCGAGCACCATTCTGCGACTCTGGAGCTCAAAACGCGTCCCGTATTTTGACCGCCTTCGCTGTGCAGAGTCGTTCCAAAAGCGGCTTCTCTCTTTGCTTCGCCGCTTCGCCTGCAGTCTGGCCACGGCCTGCGGGCGATTGCGACAGGATGCACCCTCCGGCCGTCGGGACGCGTCCAGGACGAGCCTTGGAGAAGCCAGGGATCACGTCAGCGCTGTCAGACCAGCCAGCAGTCCGCCATGATTGCCGCCAAAATAACGTTCGAGTTTCGTCGTTCGCTCTCATTCCGGCAATCAACCGCGTCGATTCACCTGAGAAGCCTTGCGACGGTCGTCACACTGGAGAGGACCTCGAGAGACTCCGAAGAGAGGGTCACACGACGAGAGCGCCGGAGAGGAGGGCGACGAAGACCCTCCCTTTTCAATTATGTTTGTGTCTGTGGGCGCGCGTGTATGTTGTAGCGCACAACACGCCAAATCTCTCCATTCACCCCACCCAGCCCGGCCGGTCGCCCCGCCGCCCCGCCGCAGCAACAGTGGTCGTACCTTGGGGAGGCGCTGGACTGGCCGAGGCAGGCCGAGGCAGGCCGAGGCCCAGACCGAGGCCCAGAGTGATAAATAGGGAGCCTCGGTCAGGCAGGCTTATGATTTAAGGCTCCCCTCCGCAGGGCAGGGCCTGCCGTGCCGTGCCTGCCGGAACCGCGAAGCGAATCCTCTGTTGACGCGATCGTCTCCTATTGGCGGGGCCGAAGCACTCGCAGGTGCCGCGGCGGCAATGCGTAATGTATGTCGAGCTCCATGATAAATACGCCCTCGCTGCCAATTAGCAGTGGGCCGTCTCGCAAGTTTGACGAGTCTGTTCAAACTGGTTTAATTGGAGACGCGTGCGTGGTGTCTCCGCCTTTGACAACAACGGGTGTGGCGCAGCCGTTATCGTGACAGGCCTTGTGACATGTCTTGACGTACGCACGGTGGGCCAGGATCTCTAGTCGCGTTTTGAGCTCCACAGTCACTATATGGAACTCAAATTGAACTTGTAACCCCATCAATGGATTGCTCTCCGAACGAGGAATCCATTGGTGGGGTCACAAGCTATGTTCGAGTCCCATTTAGCGACTCTGGGGCTAAAAACGCGTTTCCCTGTTGAAGTATTTTGGCAGGCCGTGCTTGATGCTGGTCGATGGTGCTGTGCTCCTCCCTTTTCCTCCAGTTCCACTTCTTCTGGGCCGGGGTGAGGAGGCTGGGCCGGACAAAGAGGATTTCAGATGCAGGAGAAGGGTTGCCCGTAAATCATACACCTTTAAAACTGACTTCTTCGGAAACTTTTCGTCCGGGCCCACCGTCCGGAGGCCACTCCGCGCGACGCGTCCTAATGACTAGTGCTGTGACACAGCAATAAGTATTTTATTTTTATTTCGCCGGTGGGAAATAAAATTCAAACGGCAATTTCTTTTCAAAATGACAAGTTGAGTTAAATTTTTTCAAAAATCCAAAGAGTTTTTTTTTAAATGACAATCTTGAAGTTCTCTCATTTTTTCGCCTTTTTTTGCGTGGGGTCCCCAAAGCACGATCACAACATCAAGCATTCAAATTCGACTTACCATATTTTCGTTTACCTTCTTTCCAATAACCTGTCAAGTGTATACACGGGCGTCTGAGCGACGTCGGTTTCCGCCTATCTGATTACAATCAAAACAACAATCTCCATAAGTTCCTTTCATGTCCTCCCCTTCACGAATTTGTCCCCAGGCAGTGCCTCGGCCCTGCCTCACATCGCGGAAGTGGCGTTGTAGGCTCAACGCGCGCGGTGGCGCCAAAATTGAAAAAAAAACACAGAAAAAAGGAGGCGACGCACAATAAAAGCGTCGGAGCAATTTTTCTTAGGGGTGGGGATATAGCTAGCTGCGGAAAGAATAAGGGTCCTTAATTTCGCAAGATGGTGCTGCTGTGCGCAGGGACTCGGCACGGTGTGGGGTCCTGGAATGTGTGTCTGTCTCTGTTGCTCAGCCGCGTCTCGGCTCAAGGGAAGACCCACCCTCATTGTGCGGGAATGTAAGGTGGAGAGGGAGAGGGGGAGGGAAAGATATAGAAAAGGACACCTCAATATCATTTGCAGGAGACGTGTCACAAAGGGAGGTGCACTATCTCGTAATTAGGTGGCAACATTCTCGGCCTGGCCTTCGCCGTCACGTTAAATGGCGGATCTGATAAGGTCACATCACGCGGAAGCGCAGGCAGGCGCAGCGAGGCACGGCATAGGTCAGGCGTACACTCCCAGCCAAAGATCACACAAGAGTGGTTTTGGAGGTGGCTGCGGCGGCCCGGGACCAACGCAGCGCCGCCACGCCGCTTCCGATGCAAATGGACCATTTCGTGGAGACAACCCGGGAAACAAAACCATTTGGATGGAAATCGTCCCCTTTCACAGCGCCACCGCTCTTTCAGATTCTTTTAACATGCCCCCCACCCCTCCCCTAACGGGGCGAGTGTGGCGTCTTGTTGACCGCGTCCCTCGTTGGCAGGTGCAACGTTAAAATGTTTCCAAGTTTCAACTTCGAGTTTTGAGAGTTCACTTATATTCCCGAAGTTCCCGCCCTGCCGTTTGGGTACCCGCTGGGAGCGCTTAGTGAGCGCAGGTTACGCGAAGCACCATTATGGGCGCGATTCCACCGACCGGAGCGGAGCGGTCTCCAGCAGCAGGCTGTGTCCCTCTCGCACCCCGCCGGGACACCGGGTGCAAGGGAGGCAGGAGGGCGCTGGAGGAGGAGAGCAAGGCAAAGAAGCAGGAAGCAGTGCGCGGAGCAGCGATGTGAAACAGCCATCATTACAGACCCTGCACGAGGCTAGCGAGGCCAGCACGGGGATGGCCTGCGGGATCTGCGATAGTTAAGCCTCGATTCAGGAAGAGCGTTTGTGCACTTGGATGCACCCAACTAGGAGGACTGGCGGGGCTCTCAGTCCTGCCAGTCCTGACGGCGAGTCTGCACTGGAAAGCCGGCTGGGGCCCGACCATTAGCGCTGCCTTTCGGATCGTCTTAATTGATGAAAATTAATGGGGCTGTCTTTTTCCTCTTCCAGGCTCGCGGGAGGGGTCATGGAGGACGGACGCGAGCAGAAGACGACGTGAGTACTTTTTAAAAAAAAAAAAAACATTTTCTGAGTTAATCTCCAATCTAGCATATGTAGATGTGGAACACCCCACACTTAAAAAGCTCGATGCCCGGAGGCTTGAACATTTTTTCACATACAACGATGCTCGAGCTTATTGAAGCGTGGCCTCTGCATCATTTACCTGGCGGAGAAGGGTTGCGGGGCCTCGCTGAGGAGGAGCGAGATAGCGCCAAGACGAATAAACATGATGGCCTGTTTGCACAGACTGGGGGAGAGTGCCACAGGCCTTTGTTGCTGTGGTTCCACCGGGCACTCGTCGTGGTGGATAGGTGGGTAGTTTGGACCCGGAGCAGTGTCCGCCACGTTATTGGCAGTCGGGCTGAGCCAGGCCCTCCGGAACGTTTCTCACTCGGGAGATTAAAGGCAGGTGTTCTGCGAATACCGTCCGAGGCACAGAGGAGTGTTATCTCCGCTCATATCTAAGGCGAGTCGAGATGAGCGAGGGTTAGTGCGTGCTGAGACCCCCCCCCTCTTTCCCCCTCCCCCACCCCGCGGTCCGGGGGTGAGCTAGCAGCGTCTCTGCTTAATGCCAAAAGCAAAAAGCTGCACGAGAAAATAAAACAAGTGGAGTCTTTTTGACCGCGCTGGGCTCCCCACCTGAGATGGTTATCGCCCCGCCTTTGAGCCTCGGGCCTCTGGAGAGATGTCCTCGATACTCCGAGGGCCGCAGGGCCACTCTGTCTCTCTCGCACCCATGGGCCGTCCCGTGTGGGTGCGAGAGAGACAGAGCGACGACTCGCGTAATTGCGAAATGGAGGACATCCCGTGACGTCGGTGGCCGTTCCAGGCTCCAGGTTTAGGCCTGGAGGCTCTGGAGATGAAAGCTCGGAGGTGTTGCGAGGCCGCCTGAGAGTCCCGCCCATTAAGACTGCACCACTTTTCCCCCCAGCCCAGCGCCCTTCGCCCAGAGCCCGGCCGAAGGGCGGAATCCCTTTATCGGGTCGCCTCATTGCCCAAGGGGGTTAAGGGTCGGCCCTGCGCCGTTCGGGAAAAGAAGGAATTTCGAACCATCGCACGGTGGGCCAACAGCACTAGACGCGTTTTGAGCTCCAGAGTAGCTAAACAGGACTCAAACCGAACACGTGACCCCGCTAATTCATTCCTTGTTTGGAGGGCAATCCATTGGTAGGGTCACTGGTGCAGTTCGAGTCCTACTTGGTGACTCTGGAGCTCAAAAACGAGTCCATGGTTTTGACCGCCTGGACCGGTCTCCTGGCCCACTGTGCGGTGACGTCCCCGAGGCCCTTCGGCGACCCTTCGGCGACCCTTCGGCGACCCTTCGGCGACCCTTCGGCGACTCTTCGGACGCCCTCCGCGCACCCTTCGGCCCTCGGCAGCGCCACACCGGAACCAGGGCACTCAGCGCAAGCTCGGCGCAAGGACACACGGCCTGAAAATAGCTTGACAATGGTCATAAATTAGTAGGCGGCTATTGTATGGCCGGGATTTGCTTCCTTTCCGGAGGCCGCCCCTCGCAGCCTCGCAGCGACACGGCACGGTGCGGCACGGCACGGCGCGGAGGGTGGAAAAAGGGAGCGAAAGTTCGCACCCCCGACCTCTACGCTGCCGTGGCGTGCCCTGCCGTGCCGCTCTCATGCACAGATCGCAGTGCAGCGGCAATGGGCCCCAGCGGAGGGCCCGGCCGCTCCGCCCGCCAAGTGCTCCGCGATTGGGTGGGCTGGATGGCAGCCCGGATCCACTTCCAGAGAGGCTTTTCCAAAACCGTGGGCTGCGGACAATCCCCGCGCGCCCTGAGGCGGGGAGCAGGGAAGTCTCCTAGCAGTGCTCCAAATAAACTGGCAACCGGTCCAAGTGATCGCTTCCAAAATCGGACTCCGCTTCCAGCGCTTCCAGCGTGGCCCATATGCCGAGTGAGGGGTCAACCGGAGGCGGGGTGGGGCGAGGCGGGGCGGGGCGGCAGAGCGCAGGCGATGAGACGCCCCCGTTGGATGAGGTCCATGTTTCTTGGAGCGCTTCCAGCGAATTGCGACTGCCGTACTGGCCCGGGGTGGCACCATGGTGGCACCATGGTGGCACCATGGTGGCACACTTAGACCTCCGCTGTGGGGGCCGTCTCTATTCTTGTGGGCCCCCCGTGGGCACCCCGTTTGGACTCGGCCGAATATTGATCTCCGAATCAACGCAATTTGCGCGTCGGAAAGGCTGTAAGTGCAACGTGCCAGCAGACTGATTCCGAGGTTCGTCTCTCTCGCACCTCCACGGGGTGCCCTGTGAGCGAGAGGGACAGAGCCTGCAGGCCCTGGGCCAAGCCAGACGGCCGGAGCGCGGCGGCCACGGCGGCGGGGCCTTTTTACCCGGACAATCGAGAAGCGATCCGGAGCTTATTCATGGCCTCGGACGGCCGGGGCCTCCATGGTCGTGATGAGGAGGGGCAGTGTTCCCGCCACGCCCCCGCGCAGTGCGCCGCCACGGCAGCCGCGCCAGCCACGCGCACAGAGAACCCCATTCACCGAACCGGCACGCCAGGCCACGGCATGCGACTCTCAATCCAACGGTATATATCTTGGCGGCGGAAGCGGTTTGCCAGCCATTCCCTCAATTCGCCTTGTGTGTGTGTGTGTGTGTGTGTGTGTGTGTGTGTGTGTGTGGTGTGTGTGTGCGTGTGTGTCGTTACGGACCGCATGGTGCTCGCACTGCAGCCCGCACATTGAGCCGTTTAAGTACGCTCCATTTCGACGGTTCCCCGATGTGCAAAAACCTGAGACCGAAATCTGGCTGATGACCGCCGAGGGCGGGCCAGGGCCGCAACTACGGGCCGGGCCCGCTACTTTGGTGCCAGGCACACCACAGCGCGCCGCACAGCGCCCTGATTGAGACCGGGTCTGGTCCGGGCGGACGCCGGATTTGATCAGGGTTCTCTTGATGTCGGCATAGCGAGAGACAGACGGCGGAGGACGGCGTCGACGACGACTCATCGCGGCAGGGCGGGCGGGGGCTGCCGCCACCACCGCACCCGGATGTCCACGTCCACTCCCCTGCTGAGCCTGCTGAAGGCGACCGCCGTCACCAGCAAGCTCATCGGAAGGGGCTGGCGGAGGCAGTGGCCGAGGCAGTGCCGGGGATTGCCAGTAGTAATGCCGCACAATGAAATACCCCCGTTAGCGCCGTTCCGGCCTCGCGGACCCTCGCGGACCCAAGCCGGGCCACCCAGCCAGCCCGGCAGGACAGCACCGCCCTCCAGGAGGCCCTTCAAGGGACCGCACCGGCCGGGCACCGGCACCCCGCGGCCGCGCAGGAACCCTTTTGGCGGGCTAATAGTTTGAGGTAGCCATTCAAAAGGGCCAGCGGCCGCCAGCGGGGGCCCCCTTAGCTGGAGTACAATCCGAGATGCTTCCTGGGGATGATGAGGTTTCGGACTCGTCAGGGAAGCCGCTGAGGTAAACCCTGGCACACTCCCAGCCAGGGCCCGGCCGGGACCCCGCCAGGGACGGCCCGTGGGGCGGTGGGTCTGGTCCGTAACTTGATGAGACTCGCTTCCTGTGAACAGTGAGGGTCACCACGCGCTGCGCGCACTGCGTGCTTCGCGTTTACAATTTGATTTCCAAAGTACACTTTTCACCGATTCGATTTCGGTCACTTCGCGTACCTTTCCCCCACAAAGAGCGAAACTGCCGCGCATATTCCGTGGCAGGTTATTTCAACCCACCGCTGCTCTCCCCCTCACCTATCGAGGGCTCGGGCCGCTGAGCAAGTTGATTCGGTCGGTTGAAACGCAAGCCCGCTTTGTGACCAGCTGATGTGAAAGAGGTCATTCAGATTCACTTTCAGATTTACTGCCGCTGGACCGGCCCGGCCGATACAGTGGGGCGGAAACCAGTTTGCGACGCGACCGTGGTGCCGCTATGTCCTTCTGGGCGTAAACAGTGATGATTTTGGATGTTTTTCTATTTTAGTTCTCGACAAAAACAAATTGCGGGAATAAATTAAAGGAACAGACGTAAAGAAATTTGTCTGTAAGACGAAAAGATCTTTGCAAAGTCATAACAAGATACCTTACCAAAAAAAAATTCAAAAAAAGTTTTTAAGCAAAACTGAAAAACAAAACAAACTGCAAAGAATTGGTTTTGCGTGTTGGTCCGTACGTGAGTACCATCACTGCACACCGACTACCGGAGATGGATCGCAGACTCCATCCATCACCATAGCAACGCGGCAACGCGTTTCAATCATACCGCCGGTCCTTCTGATAAGGCAGTGACCCGCCGGCATCCTTTTCCTGCAATCGGCGCGCCTAGCCGCGCTCACTCAGCGCCGCGCTGTCACGCCCGAGCAGCGCGCTGGATGAATGGCTTCGCCTCTCCGGATCGCGGAGTCGTTATTAATGGAATTTCGCGCATTATCGGACCTCCAGTTTGCCGAGACACAAAATCTATCCGTCCGAGCCGAGGTGTTGTTGCCGGTTTTCAATTCGCAGCCCTGGCGTTCCGTGGCAGTGGCGTGGCAGTGCCGTACTCCGCGTTTACGGTGTGGCGCCTAGGCCGCGCCGTTACTTGCAAAAAGGGCCGGCCGTTCGGCCGCCGCTCCTCCCCACTCGTAAAGTGGGTCATAATTGCGGGGCCGGTTCGCGGATTTTATATGCAAATTTGGTGGCGAGGAGCGCCAAGGCTTTGGTGCATCTGCCCTGGTCACTCCATTCATTTAATGAAAGTCTGCTCGGCTCGCTGGCTCTCCCAGGATATAATATAATATTTTCGCCCCGCCTGCCTGCCCGGCCCTCTGCCCGGGCCCCTGCCCGTGCCCGGCCCTCCGCGTGGCCCTTAGCCCGGAGTTTGCCAAGCGTGAATGAAAGTAAGTGGCGGCGTTGCAAGTTTGTATGGGCGCTTACTTTTTCTTGAGCGGCTGCACCTCGCCGGCTGCGAGGGAGGGCGAATTTGGAATCTGACCGTCAGAGGAAAGTGGGGCAGGCGCAGGGTCCAGGGAGAGGGGGTCACCGCGTTTTGCGGGGACCGCACATCTAGTGCATCTTCCACGACATTAAAGGGGCAAAAAATTCAGTCAGAAAGAAGATCACTGAGGCTGTCGACTATACCCAGAAAATCGACAAAATTTGACTTTTTTGACAGTGTTTTAACCGTTCCTATTTGTCGTTGTCTTTTTTCAGGCGGCGCGCAGCAGCGGGACCTGTCCGGCCTGGTGGGGGAGACGGTGATGCTGCCGTGCCACGTGGACACGGCGTCGTGCGGCACCGTGCACTCGGTCAAGTGGTACAGGGGCTCCTCCAGGATCTACGTCTTCAGCGAGATGGCGGTCGTGGACCACGCCGAGGGTGACTACGTCGACAGGTAAGGGTGCTTCGAGGTGCTTAGGGGTGAGGCGGGGTGGGGCGGTGCGTCATCAGTGGACGTGGTGCAAAGCCAGCCTAGTATCATCTTGGGCCGCGGCATTAGAGCCTTGCCTTTGGGTGTCTGTAAGCCCCATGTATCCTCGCGGCCCGGCTCGGCCCGGCTCGGCCCGGCACAGCTAGCCCGGCACAGCCCCACGCGGCGGGGGCAATATATGGGGGGCAAGGGTGCCGCGCTCACGCCACCAGGAAATCCCGCAATGAAACATTGCATACCACTTCCGAGCCCCCCACCCCTTCATTTCCCCCCACCCCGCCGGATGAAGAGGAAACAACATCGAAGCGGTGTTTCGGCCCCCGATAAAAGAAGGGAAGGGTGTCGTCTTCGTCGTCTTCGTCGCGCACCTGCCGAGCCGCGTGACTCCAGCCCGATAAAACACACGGCATGAATGTCAAGGTCCCAGCGAGCACCGCGAAGCGGAAAACCCTGTCTCCATGCGGAGAGTCGGGCCTTTCTTCCATTCCGCCACACTGGTGCTGCTCAGTGCACTCACTGTTCGAAATGACGGGTGCGATCGCCTGCCTCCGACAACGCGAAGCCCCCGCAGAAAAAGGAGTGAGCCAGGTTTTGCCCCGCCAGTGCAGGGAGCGACCTTCTGGGACTCGAAAAGCTCGAAAGCGACCCCAATAACAAACTTTGCGCGCCAAAGATAAAAAACGGGGCGCTCTTTGTCAAGCTCTTTGTTGGGAGGACGGTGACCCGGCAGCCTGCGGCCACCAAGGGGCAGACACGTTTACTTTTTTCCGTCGTCGCGCCTCTGCACGGTATACCGAAGACATTCCAGCCACAAACTTCATAGTACACTAGATCCCCGGGACACCGGCCTGGGCTGAGGCTGGGCCGTGGCCTGGCCCGGCGCGGCGTCGCAGGGCCGCAAGTCCTTGCTGCCCGTGGATCTCGCGCGGACAAACTTTTGCCGGCGGCTGACTTCTCTCTCCCGCTTGTTGGCTGCATCCCCTCAGCGCCCTGATCGTCCCTGGATTGATTACGTGCGAAACAGCAGGACTTTTTCCAGTGGTGTGGCAGGCCAGAGGCAGGCCAGAGGCAGGCCAGGGACAGGCCAGGGGTGGGCCAGAGGCCACACTTATTCAGAGGCGGTCTCACCCACCCAGATAGGAACCTTCTGCTGTCGCCAAAGTTGTGTGTGTGTGTGTGTGTGTGTCCTCGTCCTTCTATTGGCGCTGGCCCAGTGGTGGAAAGAGGGAACAAGTCACGCCAAAGTCAGCCCGACAGTGTGCGACGCTAGTTTGGTGGACTCGGTGTGTTTTCATAATGCACGCGCGCCGCGCGAACGGTTTGGCCTCGATGTCGCTCTCCACTGGTCGTCCCGCAAAAAAAAGATCTTTTTCTTCTTTATTTTTTTTTCGCCACTGCTTTCGCCCCTTGCACGGCACTCCAGCCGTGTCGGCGCTGAATGGGAGGAAAGCAAGTGCAGTTGGAGCTTTCCTTGCTAATTCGGTGAGAGAAGGGTGCAGCGGCGCCGTCTGGCGGCGCGGCCGCGAACCGCCGCGAAGCACTGCAGCTCCCGGCCAGAGTAGCAGTCAGTCATTCTCTTCGCCATCACTGCAGCGGCGGAGCGGAGCAACTCTGCAGACGATGGCCGGTGGTGCCACCGACCTGGTGCTGCCACGCTGGCTGCCTGCCTGCCTGGCGCGGCGCAAAACTTGTGGCCCTGTGTCTGGGGCGGAGGCGGGGCAGCCGGGGCTGGCAGGCAGGCCAGACCTGCAGCAGGCGTGGAGTGTCTCGCCCGAGTTGGCCGAAGTCCGCTAGAAATTGAACGAAAGGTGGTTAAATGGGAATCTCCCAACTGGCCGCCTGTAATCATCCTAATTGAACGGCGGCTTTTCAGCCGGACGGCGCCGCTAAAAAAAACAGAAAAGACAAAGAAAAGGAAGGCGCGGTCTTTAGGCTAATGCAGTGTAGGACGTGTGTCCCACAGGACTTCCGGGTTCAGACGGGCGAGTAATGCGAGCATAACCTTGGCGAGGGCCGTGGTCGTGTTTGAGCGGCCGTGTAACAAACTTGGAATGTCTTCCTCGTTACCTTAATTCCGGGAAACTGCGGCCGGGGCGGGGCTGGGTGGGCGGGCGGGGCGGGCTGGGGCAAGGCGGGCAAGGTGCGGCGGGCGAGGTCGTAAGTCGGTCCGCGCGGTCCCCGCGTTATGGACGGTCCTCCCTGATAACGTCTTGCCACCCCCGCCGCTGTATGCAACCGCCAGACTCCTCACTGTTCCTCTCTCTCTCTCTCGTGGCGAGTGCGAGAGGGACGGAGCGGCGGTGCACTGTTCGGCGGCGGCCCTCTGGGCGGGTCGCGCCGCCGCTGCGCTGGGACTGCTCCGGGACGCGGGGCGTCAAGAAGGAAAACAATTACGTCTTGATGCGTTTCTTATTCAAATGTGATGCAGAGCGATGCTCGCTGGCTGGAGGTGCTGCTGGGTCCACACAGCAAGTCGAGCATTATATCGTGTGAGACGCGGGGGGAGGGCGGGGCCGAGGCGGGGCCCTGGGGCGCATCGCTCTCGAGAAGGGGACGCTTATGCCCGCGTGGCGGCGTGGCAGCCTGGCGGGATGGTGGGCTGGCTGGGCCTAAGGCCGGGTTCCAGGGCTCGTTTTAGGGGTTCGGAGAGGTGGTGAGTGCGGGGCTGCGCTTCTTTCCCGCATAAGTGGCTTCGGATGGCGTCGTCGTCGCGCTTTGTTTTGACTGGTTATGAGCGCTGCCAGGCGCTGCCGGGCGTCGGCGGGGCGGGCGCTTATTGGTCGGCGCTTTCCGCGTGGATGACGTCATCTCGAAGCGGCGGAGATTAAGCGCCGCGGCCACTTTGGGTTATTGAAATGCGGCGACGGCGCTAGCGGCGCGTTCACGGCGACGACGCGGCGCTACGGCACCGGGAGACGGATGGGCCGTGTTTTGCGACGACGGACCTCTGCCTCTCTCTCTCACTCTCATGTGACGTCCCGTAGGGGTGCGAGGGAGACGGACCCAGAATTAGGGCAATTGATGCCACGTGCGGGACGGACTGGCTCCGCTCGGGCTGGCTTTGGGCTGCCTTTGAGAGGGCGTGCGGGTGGGGTGGAACATCTCCGCTTGCCGCGGTATACGCGCGCTTAGCGAGGCATAGCACCGCCGAGATTTTAATAAGCAGATTCAAATGAAATGCAGCGGCTTAATGACGCTGCAGCAATCATTTGGACATTGGAAGGGTGGAGCGGCTGCTCTCCAAACGGATTCGGTTTGAGGCGTACCCTGCGCAAATAACGGCGAGTACTAAACAGCCGGGCTGACACGATGATTGCTGGAGAAAGACGCCAGTGTGGTGGACCGCGCGCTACGCAGAGCGAACACAGCGAGCCACCCCCAGCCACCTGCCTCCACCGACCCGCAACTCCACGCCGCCACGCCGCAGTTGCGTGACTGTACACCACCTCGCTGAGCCGCGGTACGCCCACGCTTGTTTACACTTTGGCCACTTTCCATGTGGCTGTGTAGCTGACTCGCCACGCGGATCCCTCTCGCTTTTGTTCGGGAGGGCCCCGCCCGGGCATCCAAGATGGCAGCCCCGCCCCGCCCCGCCCCGCCCGCGCTTGGATTTACGAGCGGCGTTGTGTCCCGAGCGCGGACAGGTGCGCTCGCGGGCAGGTGGCGTACGTCTCCAGGCCAAGCCGGGCGACCGTCCGGTCGTCCCCATCGCAGGGCTGACTAAGCACCCCGTGCGCAAGCTCCCCGCCCAATGACGCCCGTTCGAACGGCGATGCGTGGAATGCGAAGGGAATACAGTGTGCGCCCGGAGCCCGACTCAGCAGTCCCGACAGACGGACCCAGGCAAGCCCCAGGTTGGAGCGGGCAGGGCCCTGCAGTCAAGGGCAGAAGTGCGGCCCGTCTCATTGGCTGGAGCCATGCTGGAGCGGACTGGAGCGGACTGGAGGGCTGGGGCGGATTGCGGCCTTCTTCGCTCTGGCTGACCTTGTGCCTGCCAGTTGATTGGAACACTACTCTGCAAAAAAAGGGAAAAAGAGAGGTGGATGTCAAAGTGGTGGGGGTAACCCTGAAAAAGACGTCAACGAGGTCGTGGGTTCCTTCCGATAGGAAAATAATTCAGGCCCATGGATGATGCTCTAGTTTTCCAGTGGGATTCAGAGCAAGACGTCCCTGAACCCACAGTGACCCACTGCTGCGTAATTTCTGGACCACCCCTTGACGCCCTGTCATGCACCACTCTCTCTCTCTCTCTTCCTCTCAGGCCCAGTCAATTAGCACTCGTCGTCTTGCTATCGGCAGCGTTTTCCCATTGATTTCCGATGCCTGGCCGTGACGCTGACGTGGTCGCTGAGGACCCTGGTCCTGTTAGGCCCACCACTGCATGTCAAGGAGCTGTTTGGCGCGGCGCGGCACGGCTCGGCACGGCGCCGTGCTAACTGATTATCATTGGAGTCGGTCGGTTCGCACGGAAGGAAGGGATTTGCTCTGTGCAGGCCTCGCGCTGCACTCGCCGACAGCCTCGGAACGAAATAAGAGAAAAGAGGTCGAATCGCGCTTTGCGGCCATCAAAGTGACATTGCTTTCCGCGCAACTTCACCTCGACTTAACTTTTTGCCGCTGTGTGTGTGTGTGTGTGTGTGTGTGTGTGTGTGTGACGGGGCCGATTGTTCCACTCCGTTCAGACGCACCCCCTGTAATTTGGGCCCCCTTTGCTTCAGCCGCCCACAAGCCGCTGCCGCCGTTCGACTTACTGGCCTCCCCCTCCCCCTACCCTTCCCCCTCCCCCTCCTCCCTTCCCTACCCCAACCTTTTCCCCCTCCGTCTTTGAGGGCACAGCCGAATGATTATGCATATAATCACCGCATGATGTGCCTCGCTGCTCCGATCGCGCCAGAATAATTTTCTAATTGTGGATAAAGGGATAAAGTGACGCGTGGAGCGTTCGACGGCGCGCCGAGGGAGTT